CCCCAAAACCCCAAAACCCCAAAACCCCAAAACCCCAGTCTAAATCTAAATCATTGAATTTGCAAAATTACCATTATAATAATAAAATTTCTTTTTAAAGGAAGCCATTGTCAGAAAAATGGAGGAAAACTTAGATAGCTATGATTTATGCGATTTGTCAGACCATTCGGAAGGGGCCAATTCTGTTTTAGTTAGTGGTACTGGCTCAAAAATTTCAAAGCCTATGAACTTTCAAATGTACCAAAGCACCAAACGTAATAAACAAGAGGAATTTGAAAATGTAGATTTTGATCTAGGGTCTGCTCGTCAGAGGTATACTACAATTACTCCTCCATCTCTAGCTAAGAAGAATTAAGTCCTCTGGGTCTTTTCTATTCCAAGCAGATGATGAGTCTTTAGAAAAATTAAGAAAAACACAAAAATAATGTAATTAAGAAGAAAGGAGTAATAAAAAGAGTCTTAAGTAAGGTGACATCTGGCAAGGATGATATTAAGGATGAAGAATTAATCAGCCTTTCTTCAAAAGACACCGAAAAATCCCAAATTAAGTTACTCCAGAAATTTATCAGGCAAGGGATGGCTTCTCAACGGGATAAGGAAGAATTCGTCATCTTGATTCTGAGAAATAAAGGCCTAGCTCCTAATATAAGGAAGAAATTATGGATGATCCTTGCAGAAGTGGGTAAGAATATGAAAACTTCCCCTAATTACTACTATTTCCCCAAGGGATATAGTTACGAAGAAGGCTCCCGGATCCATGGATCTCATTCAGGATTAGAGCAGAGTACAAATAGACACCGTTTGTTGTATTCGTACCCTCACATGCCTGATATTTACGAAAAGCAGATTCTGCTAGATCTTGAGAGAACTTTCTGAGATGAGCCTGAATTTTGAACCAAAAACGATAAGAACAAACGAATCTTGCTCAATATTCTTCTTTCTTACACTAAGAGGAATTCTACTATTGGATATTGCCAAGGGATGAATTACCTTGCTGCAACTCTTTTCAGAGTTTTTGAAGATGAAGAACTAGCTTTCTGGGGGCTCTGAAATCTGTGTGAGTCAGTCCTTCCGCTTGATTATTACTCTCATATGGTTGAGGTATTAGTCGACCAAAAAGTATTTGTTCATCTACTACAAGAAAAGAAACCAGAATTGTATGCGCATTTACAAAATTTAGGACTTGATGTCGCACTTGTCTTATTCCAATGGTTTATATGCTTATTTGGATCACAATTCAATCGAGAAGTAACCGAGGCAATATGGGATCTGATACTTCTGGAGAAATCGGTAGCTGTCTTCAAGTCCTCCCTAGCTATATTTGATATTATGGAGGAAGAAATTTTGAATTCTAGTGATTTCTCTGATATTTATCCATTACTTAATGAAAAACCCTTTGAGATCGTGAATCAAGCTTCTGTAATTATGAAAAGCCTAAAGAAATTTGTTGATATCAATTCCTCACAGATTGAGAAGCTTCGTGATAATTATAGGCCGATAATATTAGAAGAGCAACAGAAAAGTTATAACAGTACCAAATCAGTATCAAAAATACTTAAAGAGCCTATCTCAACTAGGAGGATTAAGCTGCTTTCAAAGTTCCCTCTTTTAGATTTCTACTTACGGGAATCTCTTGAAGAAAAGCTCACTCGAATGGATAAAGTAGACCTTGTCGTTAAAGATTGTAAGTACCAATTAGATTTTAGGCACCTTAGTGTTCATCTCTAGATAGTTTGTGTTTCAAATTAAGTATGATTATTTGAGATATATAAATTTGTTTAAAACATTACTTGGAACACTGACTAAGTGCTCCATGAAAATTCTTTAGAGTACCTTTTCCGAATTTAGTAAATACCTTGAATAACTCATACGAGTAAAGCCAAATGAGGATTACAAGCTGTTTAAATTAATTTGTTGAATTAGGTGTTTAATATGATAGTTTATTTTCTCCTCAAAAATCGTTAAAATTATCATAATTTCTTTCCGACATGTTAAACCTTCAAAGTTAAGAATTCACATTTTTATGAAATGATGAAAGATTATTGAAAGCATTTAAGTCAACCAAATTAAAGGCAAATTGTAAAGTCGTATTCAGATGTAATAATGATGAATTTTCTGAGGTCATAAGCAAAAATGCCTCTTGTATTTATAAATACTAATTGCTTATATTCTATAATAACATAGACGAATGTCAAGATCAGCCAATCTGTCTATACGATTTTACTTTCAGAGCAAAATCATGAAACTTTTTGGTATATAGAGTCGGATGCCCTGTTGCTGTCTATGATGATTATTTTGGAGGTGAAGAAGTAACATCTGGTGGACCAAAAATGCCAAATAGTTTTATATTCACATCTGAAGCATCACAAAGAGCCCATAAAGACGATTCTTATGAGTAAACACAATCCTAAACTCTAGAAAAATCACTTCAAGCTTAAACACCAAAGCTAATCCCCCTCCAAATCTCACCAAATACAGTGACTCCGATCTTCTAATCTGTCGGGAGACACATCTCTGCACCAATTCAAACTTCAGTGAAGAATTCCAAAACCTGTTCAACACAAACTGCCCCTCCCTCTTCACTCCCCAACTACACACATTAATCTTTGATTTCAACGGCGACGAGAAGGCAAGCGAACTCGCAAAAGTAGAAATCTTGAAGATCCTGAAGGATGACGTACAGAAGATACAGGAAGACCATACAGGCAATAGGAAGAGAGGGAAAGCAGTAGTTGAGAGGGAGCTAGAGGAGGAAAAGGGAGGAGACAAGGAAGGGTTTGATATTGAAGCATTTATCCAGGAGATTGAGGAAGGATGGTCTATGCCTGATGAGGATATTAGTAAATATATTAAGTAAGTCTGTTCTCACTAACACACAGAAGAAAGCAGATAATATCCAGTGACTCTGAAAAATCACCTATCCATCGTGCTTCTGAATTCGACTTCATGGCAGTCTTAAAAAATAAGGACAACATGAGAGGCACCTTAATGCTGATGAGCACCATGTTCAAAGAGACAGATAAGAGTAGCAACTGTGGAGAAAGCCATATTTAGTTTCAATTAGACCACAGTTTATAGGGGTTTTGGGGTTTTGGGGTTTTGGGGTTTTGGGG